AGCTGACTSGGGATGCCTGAGTTGAAACCATCCCTGGGTCCCACAGGAAGTTGGCTTGTCCTCTGTGTGACCACAGGATGGCCTCTGAAGGACCACCTGTGCTCTTCTGCTGGGTGAGTTGTAGCATTGCAAGGACATGCTGGCCGCAGGGTCCTCCCCAGCAAGGGCTCCTCCTCATAGTGCAGCTCCTGTGGGGTGGGGCAGGCAGTGATATTTCCGCTCTACGAAAGGGGAAACCCGGGCCCAGGGAGGTCAGGTGCCTTCCTAAGATKTCACAGTTAGTCATGATTTGACTTCTGTTTTTTTCCATTCCTGGTCTCTAAATTTTCCCTCTTGAAGCCGGGTGTGGTGGCACATGCTGTAATCCCAGAGGCTCAGGAGGCTGGGGCAGGAGGATCACAAGCTCAAAGCCAGCCTCAGCAATTTTTTGAGGCCCTGAGGAACTTAGCAAGACCCTGTCTCAAAATAAAATATAAAAAAGGCTAGAGATGTGGCTCAGTGGTTAAGCACGCAGTACCCAAACCAACCAAACAAAAAATAATTAAAATAAAATTCTCTTTCTCTAGAGAATTCCTTGTTGTTTTATCTTTCCTAGGAAGATCTTCACCGTGATATTTTGGGGCCCTTAGCAAGAAGGGCTGGGCCTTGTCCTGTGGCATCCTGCAGCTTGAGGCATGAGGCTGCCACCTCAGGTAGGGCCATTTGGAGGTGGATGAGGGGGATCTTGGCAATGCAGCTTTCATCCAGAATCTCAGCGGCCCAGGCCTGGAGGGAAGAGAGGGAACAAGGAGTACAGACACCTGGGCAAAAGGTGTTCTGGGCAGAGGGAACAGACTGGGCAACGGCCCTGAGGACCGGTCAGCCTGCAAGGGTCCTGGAGGCCAGGACATCAGAGCAGGTGAGTGAGGGGCATCACAGGACTTGAGCTGCCCAGTATGGCTCCCTTGTTCCTGGAGATGTGTCCACTGAGGAAAACTTGGCAAAGGCTGCTCTGCAGGGACAGTGGTGCAGTGGCCAGAGCTGGCTTGGCCCATGGCTATGTGCCGTGGGTTCTAAGATGCCCACCCATGGTTCCCTGAGTCCTCTTCTCTCCTCGGCTCTAAAATGTACTTCCTTTCAACTACTGTACCCGTCTCTATGACATTTGGAGTTGAAATTGAAAAATACCTAACATGTATCCACTTAAAATCCAGATCCCAAAGGCCTACCAAGGAAGCCTCCTCCATGGGGTTTAGAACGGTGACAGCCACTGGGTAAAGGGTTTGCCTCCCTTGCTGCCTGCCCTCTGATTTGAAGGTGAAGATACCCAATGGTTTCTCGGTATCTCCAGGAATCCTAGACATTGGTCTTTTCAAAGGCTTGGGGTGTTTGTGTGTCAGTTGCTGCCCGAAGGCAATGCTGACATGTTAGAATAATTCATCTTTTTCAAACATTTTGTCTTTTTTTATTTTTATCTTTTTGTAGTTGTAGATGGACAGAATGCCTTTATTTTTATTTTATTTTTTATGTGGTGCTAAGGATTGAACTCGGTGCCTCACACATGCAGGCAAGCACTCTGCCTCTGAGCTACCGCCCCACCCCATGTTGTTTTCTTAACCCAAGACTTAACTGGATCCAAAAACTTCCCCCTCCTTATTTCTCATGTGCAGAGAGCAGCAGTGCTCACCTTCTTGGATGCTGCTGGGTGCTGTGAACTGGGCCCTCCAGGGGGCCACTCTGGCAACACTGGCTTTTGTTGGCAGAGTGGAGAGGGCCAGATGAGAGCAGGGGGAAACAGAAGAGCCACCTTGGGCCTGTGGGATGGGGAGAGCTCAGCGACAAGCATGGGATCTGAAGGAAGGCACAAGATGTTCATGATGAGGTTCAGGAGTTTTGCTGTATGGGCTTGGTACAAATCCTCTTCTCTTCCCCCAAGGACATCTCCAATGAAAGATCCCTTTTTCTCAGGAGCATGGTAGAGTTTGAATAATTTTCAAAGTGTTAAAGGTTGAGGTAGGTGTGGGGCTTCAGTCAGAACTGCCTGTGGGACTTGGCTACACCCAAGACTGGTGYTTCCTGGAAGATTTTGGAAATTTCCAGAGATGGGAGTGTGTGTATGAATGTGCATGCACATAAGTCCCAGAAAAGGTTTCAAAAACAAGGACATCTTTGTCTCCTGGAGTGGCCTACAGAGATGAGAGAAAATCAGAATTGTTTTCTGTGGCCGAGTCCCTAAACCTCCCACCTTCCCTCCCCATTTCCTTAGCACTCACAAAACCCACCCTCGGCTTGYTCTGCCTCTCTGTGCCCTATCTTCTCTGCAATGTTCTTTACCTTCCTGACCAGAGAAGGGTCCTGTCCCAGTAGGCTGTTTCTCTGCTGGTGCACCTCCACTGTGCCAGGTGCACTTGAAGCACAGGGATGGGCAGGGATGGGGTGGCTGGAGTCTTTGGCTTCTCAGGGCAGCCACTGCTGGGTACATCCTGGTGGAGCTGGAGAGAGAGGGGTGCCCTGATGCCACAACCATCCATCCCCCAGGGCCCCTGCTATCACCAGCAGCAGTTCTTGCAGTCTAAAGTGTGTTTTTGAACATCGGATCATAAGTCAACAGTAAGTTTATAGGGTCATGACTGGCATTAAAAAAAGAAGATATCAGAGTGTATCACATGTTTAGGGGGAAGTACTGTTAGGCATATCTGCCTGTGAAATATGCTCCATACTTTTGAAAGCCACTTGTCTGAACAATTCCTGCATCTGTGATTTGGGGAAGATGTGTAATGCTGTAGCAAGAGAGAAGCTGTCAGCCAGTGACAGCCCAAGTTGGATGCAGTGGCTGGTGGGTTTTGGATTGGGAGCTATCGTTCAAGGCCCTGGTCATCCTATTCCAGGGGAGGCTTGATGGACCAGGTTCATGGGCCAGAAGCCCCTACTACAATAGTGAATGGTGTTTCCTCCTCTCTGAAAACCAAACAGAATATGCCATGCTACATAAATCCCTGTGAGACATTTCTTTGTTCAGAAATGATGTCGGCTTGTTGTTGGGGGTTGCCATAGGAAACAGGGAGCTCTGTCTTGGAAATGCAAGGAGGCAAGCCCTGTGATTGGCTCCCCTTGCTGCCCATCACTGCCGCCCAACCCAACTGCAGCCAGAATCCTGCCGCCGCACCCCCCCACCCCACCCCACAAAAGTAGTGGTCTTACTTGGGGCAAAACTTCTTTGTGKTGTTCCCCAATTCCCCAAAGCAGGGGATCCAGGATTGCCCATATGACCGCAGAAGAAAAGGAAAAGGGGGATGGGAGTTGGGAGGGAAAGAGCAGGAGCCGGTCTCACCAGCAGAGGGCTCAACGGCGGGCGTAGCTGAGCCTCTTCACTCTGAATGTGGCTTACTCTGCTTCGGAAGAGAATGAAAGGAGCCGTAGATAACCCCGATAACCCAGATGATGGGTCTTTGAGACTTCTGCCTCSTGGCTTTTTTAAAAAKAACTAAAAATAGTCCAGAGYCTTTCCTCATTTGGGTAGAATCTAAAAGCAGTTCCCTTGTAAAACAATGTAAGCTGATAGGTGGGAGCAGGCACTCGGATTGACTGTGCCCCAGTAGGGTTGGGGACCTGGGAGGCATAGGCAAATATGCAGAGGCCTGGGTTCCTAAACCTTTGATGTCAAGGTCATTGCAACTTCGGGCAGGCAGGAAAGGACTTCCGAGAGAGGAAGGACAGTCCATCCGAGGACCTGTGTTTTATCAGAGGCCCAATTTGCATTAGTGGGATGGGCGAGGCTGGCCTGTCACCTTGGCATGGCTGCTTGGGGAACCTAGCGTCTCTCTTGTTTAAACTAAGAGTGTGCCCTTGTGGCCCGGATGGGGGCGCCACTGGCGTGGCTTAGCCTGGCTAGCAAGGCCTTACTGTCAGTAGCGCAGAACCAGCACCTGTCAGGCTAATGCAGCCAGAGACAAGGTCCAGACTATCTGGGCCTCTGGAACATTACACGGGGCAAGGTGTGTGGAGACGTGCTGGACCTTCCTGCCTCCATGCACGTGAGTCACTGGAGAAACAAAAGAAGTCTGGCTTAAGCTGGTCACGCTGGTGGCAGCACTGGCCTAGGGATCTTTATAAGCTTTCTAGAAAAGTGAGAATGAAAGTCCATGCTGTTTCCTCAGCCTCCACTGGTCAATTCCAGTGATAGCCTGGCTCGTTAGTTGGCCAGGCCCTCACCCAATCCCATCTTGCCAAACCCCACGGGGCAGTACTGGGCGCTTGGTGGTCCTCGACTGTTTCCGGGACAGGGGGCCCCTGGAGAAACGGGAGCCCCTGGCCCTCGGGCTGGCCAGGAGAGGAGTGCGAGCGGGGTGGGGAGGCAAGGTGTCCACCAGGGGCTTGGAGCACCCTGTTCACCCTGGACGGAGACCCAGCTTCCTGGGTGTGGGAGAAGCCCAGGGAGCACCCTCCGGCCAGACCCAAGTCCTGCCGGGCACTGAGGAGCACGGGCTGGAGGGCTGCAGCATCCCGGGCCACTGGGCCGCGCGCAAGTGCAGGGGGCGTGCGTGCGGGGACTGTGGCCCGGAGCCAGGGTGCGCGCGTGCGCGCGTGCGGGCAGCGTGCCTGTGAGCACGTCCGAGAGCGTGTCCGTGGGTAAATCGCGCGTGGGGGCACGTGACTCGGGACAGGCTCGCGCGTGGGGCGGCGCGTGGGCGCGCGCGGGGCCCGCGCGGCTCCCGACCCGGAAGGCGGGGCGCAACGGGGGCGGGGCGCGCGGCGCCGTTGCTAAGGCGGGCGGCGGCGAGGGCCCTTGGCAACGGGCGGGGGCGCGCGCGCCTGGGCGCGCGCCGGTGGCGGCGGGGATTTCCAGCGCGCGGGAGGAAGTGCCAGCGCGAGGGTGCGTGAGGCGGCGCGGCGCGGCGGCCGCCGCGTGCGCGAGCCGGTCGCGGCGCAGCAGGGACTTTCCAGCCGGCGGCGGCGGCGGCCGCCGGCCCTTCCCCGCCCCCCGCCATGGGGCTGCCCGGGGAGCAGGACGCTGCGGCCGGCGGCGGAGGACGCGCCCGGCGCCCCTGAGCGGCGGCGGCGGCGCGCCGTGGGGTAAGGGGCGGTGGCGGCGGCGGCGGCGGCTGTCCCTGGCGGGCGGCGGGTCCCGAGCGGCGCAGGCCCTGCCCGCCGCCGCCGCTCGCCGTCCCGGCGCCGCAACTTGGGGAAACTTTGTGCGGAGGCCGCGGCCGGGCCGCGACGCCGCCGCCGGGCAGCGGGCGCCAGGCCTCTCCGGCCGCGGCGAGGGAGGTGGGTTTCCTTTAAGCCGCTGCTGAAAAGTTTATACTGAGTCATTCCTCTGCAGATGAATGACTGATTCATACCGGAGCTGCAGAGGCTGGCGGCGGGCGGTTCTGGGATCCGGCGCGGGCAGAATGCGCACACTCCACCTCCGATTAACGCCAAAGGTCAGAGCGGGTCCCGGGCGGGGAGGGAGGAAGGCGAGCCTGGCGGCGCCCGCCCCGGGCGGTGCGCCACGTTCCGCACGGGCCAGCGGTGCGGACGCGGCCCTCGCGTGGGGACCCMGAGAGCGGGTTCCGAGTGGACCGCGCCTTGCCTGAGTCCGGAGCACGAGGGAATGGAGACGAGTGTCGTGGACGTGCTCTGAAATTTAAGAAGCCGTGGAATAATGGTCCGCTGGACGAGGAACCGATTTCGTTTCGCGTTTTTCGTTCTGAGCCCGGAATCGGTTTTCGGAGCGAGACAGGGGTGTGTGCGTGTGTGTGCGCGGTTGATGCGTGTGCTCGTGGAGTCGTGGAGGCGGTGTGGAGCCGCGCGAGGCCGCCTCTCATTTGCATTCACGGCATGCCACTGAAGCGGAGCCAGGGCTTTTTTCCTTAGCGTTCTCTGTGAATCCCCTCCGGCGAGGGCTGGGGAAGTGCCCCTTCCCGTGACCCGGCGAGTGTCGGTGGGCGCCGCGTTGGAGGGGCGAGCCGGGCCTCGCTGGGCTAGAACCCCTGGCGCCGGCGCCTGCAGAGGGCCTGGGGAATGCTGCAGCGCCGCGGGCAGGCAGTCTGGCCCCCGGCGAGAGGAAGTGCTGCTCCCCGGTGCTGGGACCTCAACTTGGGGACACTTTAGCATTCGGTGGAAATTATTTGGCCAGAGGAAAATAAGCCTTATCAGTGGGAAAACCGGAAAATGCCCCGCGAGGCGGGAGAGCTCTGTGATTCCGGGCTCAGGACCGACCCCGCAGACCGCCGCGGATTCCAGCGTCACTAGCGAAAATCAGACCTGATGGTGGCTAAGGTTTAAGATGCAAGGTGTCTCACCCAGACGCCATCTGTTCCAGCTGTCACAGCTAGAAAGCCAGGGACGCAGGGAGAGCTGGCCAGGGAGAATTCCAGCGTTTTTTTTTTTTTTTTAAGATATATGAATTTTTCTATGACAGGAAAGAAGACCAATTATTTTTCTTTGGATGCTATCTCTTCTTTTTGTACTTAGTAAGATGGCCTCAGTGAAAGGCTGCAAAGACGTTCCCCTGGAAGCAGGCAGCAGCAGTGGCCAGTTGGTGCAGATACCATCGTGCCATTCCCTTCTCTGATTGTGCCTTGGAGAGAGTCCTTCATGTAACTAAACATCTGAGCTGCTGCTGCTTTCCCCCTGCGTTTGGGCCTTCTCCAAACATCCCTTGCTAGACTTCCTTGGATTTTTGAGTGCAAATCAAGAAGGACTTTCTCAGGTATTGTCAGGATATGTATGCTAATGAGCTGAAAGATGAGAGTGATTTATCATTCTTTAAAACCCTTTTTTAAGATGCTGAAGCTCTGCTTCAAGAAAGATAAAACTGTCACTGTGGTGTTGTAAGCTGCAGCTAGCTCAGATACAAAAAGGAAATTGTATTAGATTTACCCATCTCTGTTTTCTCATCTTGTATAGCAAGATTCTTCAAACAGCAAGTGATCTAACCTGTCAAATATTATGCAATAGATGAATTTCCTGTCATTGGTCAGTTCAAGAACTATTAACAGAGAAGTCCCATGACCAGGGACCTCTGCATTTGTTCTATGGAATCAGGACCCCTTGCATTCTTTGCAAGTGTTCATAGAGGAAGAAAAAATTTTTTTTTTTTTTTCAGTATCTGTCTTCAGATACAGATAGGAACTGGCAAGAGAGCTATAGTAAGAAAGGAGGAGGAGAGGCCAGAGAATTTGGAAGCTGACAAGGGAGAGGTAGCTGAGGCCTGAATGTGGGGGATGATGCTTAGGCTTGGGTAGGAGGAATGGGAGTCAAAGGGTGAGAGATGCCCAGAGGCCAGCAGGCAAGAGGGCAGTAGAGAGAGGTAGAAGATTTTTTTTTTTTTTTGGAGGGGGGACATCTGTGAAGTCTCTAAGGAGCTAGTGGAAAGAGAAGAAAATTCAGATTTACACAGGAAAAAAAAATAGTGCCTGTTATTTCTGTTATTTATAATTAAAAAACAAATCCAAGATGACTTTTTTTTTTTTAAAGAGAGAGGGAGAGAGAGAGAGAGAGAGAGAGAGAGAATTTTTAATATTTATTTATTTTTTTAGTTTTCAGTGGACACAACATCTTTGTTTGTATGTGGTGCTGAGGATCAAACCCAGGCCGCACGCATGCCAGGCAAGTGTGCTACTGCTTGAGCCACATCCCCAGCCCAAGGTGACTTTTTTTTACTTTAGAAAGCTAGCTTTTATTGACTAAGGTCTGCACAACAGTGTTCCAGGAAAGGGTGTGGGAGGGGAGAAACCAGTGTAGAAAGGAGAAGGCAGGACTTCTAGCACTCAGGGTCAACCCTCCCCTTTTAAGATTTTTTGTTGAAACTTCTTGGTCTGTGGGTTAAGGTGGCAGGTAGTGTGGTGTCATGAATGTGGACAACGGCTGGCTTCTGCCCTTTCAGGAGTCGGGTGGGATTTCTGTTGCATTCTGTGTTCCTTGAGTTAAGTGGATCAGCTGGGTCTTGGGTGTCTTTTTTCATTTAATTAATGCTCAGTTAATKTGCCCAAGTTCCCATGATATTACGTTTACCATGCCAGGATGAGAGAGGCATGGTGTCTGCCTTCATGGGAGATCTGGGGCATTTTGGCCCCTGTGCATGATGATGGGACTTGCTAGAGGTCAGCAGATACTGGACTGTGACCCTGGGACAGGATCCTGGTAGGAAGAGTGAGGAAAAAGGAAATTTCACCGTCCTGCATGGAGGAAGCTGTACCCACCAGGAGGAAACTAGAAGACAGCTGTGGTGGCACACGCCTGTAATTCTGATTACTCAGGAGGCTGAGGCAGGAGGATTGCAAGTTGGAGGCCAACCTTAGCAACTCAGCAAGACCCTAGCTCAAAATAAAAAACAAAACAAAATTGGGAAATGTAGCTCAGTGCCCCTGGGTTCAATCCCCAGTGTCAAAGAGGAAAAAAAAAAAAGAAAAAATGGAAATCTCTTGACTGGTTAGGGTGGTCATAGGGTGGTACTTCTGGGAGTACCATGGAGCTGAGCCCAGTGGTGGGAGGTCTCTGGCACAGTGGCTCCATCTGGGCTCACTTGGAGGACCCTGAGGATAGCAATAAGAATTTTGCCTCCCCAATTTCTTTTGGTAAGATGTGATCTGATAGTTGTTGTCCTTTTCTTCTTTGCCAGTACATGTGGTGCTGGGGATGCTGTTGGTCATTGGTTTCCCRTATGGGATGCTTCCTGTGCTTCCCTCTGGCTCTTGCAAGGCCCWTGACCACAGGAGCTCAAATGGGTCTGGCAGGCTATTGCTGTGAAGGGCATGATCTGTAGAGGGAATGGGCAGTGGATCTCATTACACTGCTGTCCCTACTGTTTTTGTAGGTATAAAATCTCCAAAAGTGGTGGTGGTTTAAGGGGTGTAAAGGATTAAAAACAAAAAGACCCTTTTAGTGAGAACATTAGGGTAGAGAAAGGAAATCGGGAGGGAGAAGAGGAGGACAGAGGGAGTCCTGGAGATTGAAATTGATCACATGATGTTCAGGTCAGAATTTGACACAATGAAAACCACTGTTCTGTATCAAACACACACACACACACACACACACACACACACACACACACACACGGCCCCTTCTTCCAAACCTGTCTTCCTTGCTAATACAACCTAAAATCTTAATTTGCAAAAAACGAGAAGTCAGGTCTTTCATTTTCTCTCATGGTTTACTTTTTTCTAGGATTTGTTCCATATTGATTTTATTAAAACAATTAAATAGAGGCTATTTGGTAGCTGTTTTTTTTTTTTTTTTTTTTTGTACCAGGATTAAACCCAGGGGCACTTAACTACTGAGCCTCATCCCCATCCCTTTTTGATATTTTATTTAGAGACTGGGTCTTGCTGAGTTGCTTAGGACCTTGCCAAGTTGTTGAAGCTGGCAAGTGTACCACTGTACCCAGCTCCTTGGTAATTTCTTATAAAACCATTCTATACAGAAAGATTTTAGGATTTGCTGTTTTGATATCCTAATTAGCTATTCAGTTGAAACAATTCTGTGGCAAAACTCAAAAGCATATTTATTAGAAACTTGATTTCTTTTTTTTTTCAAGTTGTATTTTATTTATTTATTTATTTTTTAAAGAGAGAGTGATGGAGAGAGAGAGAGAGAGAATTTTTTTAATATTTATTTTTTAGTTATTGGCGGGTACAACATTGTTGTTTTTTTTTGTATGTGGTGCTGAGGATTGAACCCAGGCCGCACGCACGCCAGACGAGCGCGCTACCGCTTGAGCCACATCCCCAGCCCTTATTTATTCATTTATTTATCTTTATGTGGTGCTGAGGATCGAACCCAGGGCCTCACACTTGCTAGGCAAGCGCTCTACCACTGAGCCACAACCCTAGCCCATGGAAACTTGATTTCTTTAATTGGAAGAAAAGATAAACCAAGTAACCAAATAGGATAACAGAATTTTTTTTTTTTTTTGTACTAGGGATTGAACCCAGGGGTGTTATACTACTGAGCCAAAATTTATTTTTGTCTTTTGACACAGGGTCTTGCTAAGTTGCTGAGGGCTTTGATTTTGAATTCAGCCTCCTGAGTTGCTGGGATGACAGGTGTACACCACCAGGTCTGGCTCTTTTTCTTTCTCATTTAGGGACAGCATCTTGCTAAGTTGCCCAAGCTAGCCTGGAACTTGCCATCTTCCTGCCTCAATTCCCAAATAACTGGGATTACAGGCATGCACCACTGCACCCGGCAGGTAATAGAATCTTGAGGACAGCAGTGGAGTCTGAGGTGAGGTGACATGTGAGTGCCTATAAAGTCAGTGTTCCTTAGGCCTGCATACATGTGAGGTGTCGTGGTTCTTGTTAGGCCTCCCCTCTTCCTGACTGCTTTTTTAGTGTTTGCATCTATATGCTGCAAGTTGGGTGTTCCCTGTGCCTTGGGGTCTGTGTCTGCAGTTGGGAAGACCTTGAGGGCCTCCTTTGACCGTTTTCCTGGCGGG